CCCCAAAACCCCAAAACCCCAAAACCCCAAGGTCAAAATAAGTTTTAATAGAATCAAAATAAAAGATAATATATAAATCCTGAATAAAGTATTGTGAAACTATTAAAATGTCAAAAAAGATTTTGATTGATCATCATCCGACCAACACTATTGAATAGCAAATTCAAGCATAAATGAGTGCAATGATGAAAAAGTCTGTAGATGCACTCTTTATTTCAAAAGAGATGATTGACATGCTCTTAAACTCCTTTGAACATGAATTGTTTATGCAGGAATGCTTGAAAAAGGTATTGCCATTTACTTGCTATCATGCTTGTGAAACAGCCATGAGACTTTCTAACCCAATTTTGATTCCTTATGACCCAAGGCTGGACGATTGTATCCTTTAACATGAGGATATCGAAGAACCTGTAAATTATTACTTATTTATATCTATTAATCGAATTAGGAGGGATTAGGTTTAGATCCATTAATGCCAGGCTATGTTTAATTGAGAAAACCCTTAGACAGAGCCTTTGCTTAGGAATTTAATACTATTGATGCCACTGGGTTAAAGTCTATTGGCTCACCTAGAAGGTCTGTTATCATGGGCAAAAAGACTTCGTAATTTATATCATCATCTAATTCATGCAAATATAGTATAAGTTTGGATAAAAAGTCTCTCAAAAAGTTTAGTATTCCCAAAAATATTATAGAACAGGATGTTGTGCCTAGACAGTAACTTTTGGATCTCTAAAGAAGCATTGAAACAGAAGAAGTTGTCAGGGCCAGATTCATACTAGACAAGTAATTAGCTAGAAGGAAAGTAGAATAAGATGAAAAACAGAGGGAAATCGATTTGAAATTGAAATATGAGAAAAATAAAAACTCTTTAACAGTCAGGGCTAGTAATGATGGGAATATAACGTTTGATTTTGATGGCAATCCTATCTAAGTAAAGCAAATCAATCCTAATAAACTGAAGGTCTTAGAGTAGGATCAGGAACTCATGACTTTCAAGATGATTGAGTAACAGTAACAGCCAGTGCAGAAGAAGTAAATTAAATTGCCAAAAACCTAAAATAATCTCGAGATCAAAAAGGAAAAATCAACTATTGAACTGCCTGACGACATAATGCAGGAGTAGAGAATTAAAATATCCACTTTGGCCCCAGTATATCATCAAGAGCCATTTAAGGTGATCAAGCCATAATATGGTGTATCCTTAATTCAAGAGTAGTCTCCATCTGTAATGAGTAATAATAGTAAGCGTGATAATAACTTCTCAGTTGGCAATTACTAGGACAACCCAAGCATTAAGGGGAAATAAATGACTAGATAAGATTACAACTCTGTGAAAAGCTAGGGTTATCAACTTACTAATCTAAACAAATCACAGCTAATAGATACACTTGATTATTCAATGGATGAAGAATTAAAACATTTAAAGTTAGATGTATCTTATGCTCGCTTAGCTAACGTCAATGACACCTTCTTTACCGATACGGCAAGAAAGCAAACATCCAAGAATCTTACTATAAATAGTGAAGAGCGAGTTAGCACTAAATTTAGAATAAACAAAAATACTGTTGACTAAGTGGGTCATCAGATCAAGACCTAGAACTAATAATCTAGAATGCTTCTGATAGATGATAACACTGCCAATAATACACTCCACAATACTTCATTAAATGTCCAGTTCAACACAAATTTAATAGGGGAATTCAGAAATCAATAAAGCAACAAAAGCCTTCATTATGTTTCTGGATTGTAACTGCCTAAAATTAGGACAAAGAGGGCAGGTGGCAGAGACACTTCTATGTCCTTGCCTTAATCTCTAAATCAATCTCTAGTTCTGAAGGAATCAAAGAAGAGACCAGATTACTTATCAAAAATAAGAACTACCTAGAATCAGTCAGTCTTGTATGATAATGTTATTGTTTAAAAGATTGATGATGTAACTGGCGATAAACTTAACAACAGTTTCATTCAAGGATCCTCGAATCAACAAGGCCTGATTAACCAAAGGAATGATTCATTCATTATAAATTCAAATGAAAAACTCCCCAAATTGAGGTATCCCATTCCAAAGGTTAAGGACAACTTCGTCTAAGATATGTAACAAATTTTCAATCAAAAGGATAGGTTCAATCAAGCTATTATCAATAGTAAGAAACGACAGAGACTCCTACCTCAGAAATAACAGGAGTAACAAACTTACGATCAGATCTACAAGTTTGTATGATTTTATTAATGGATTATATTCTATGATGTCATCATCTCTATTTTTATTAATTTACTAAACGTCATCGATTATAATTTTTTAAACTAATGAAGTCATACTTATCAATGTAAAACTTTTGGAAGGTGCTGCTGGGATCTTTCTTGATCGGTACCTCCTCACTTATATTAATGGGAAGTTTTATCTTTGCTTTCTTCACTGTTGCTCTATGGATATGGTTCGTCCCACTTTTAATGCTGCTATCAATTCTATTCTTCATTCAGAAGGGTAAACAAGTGCTTATGTCACTGAGAATAGTGCTTAAACTTGGGTTTTTTGAGACCAAGCTGAGCAAGGAGGAATGGAAGTACCTTTATAATAAATACTTATAAGAAACTTACTACCCCTAGCTTGATACTGCTAATTACGGATTTGCTATCCTTAGTGAAGATGGCATATACTTAGATAACTACAAGAGAAATGAATCTGTCCTTAATTATCAACTCTACGATCATGCTGTGCTAATGCACGCAAACATAAGCGATTTGAGAGGTAAAACTCTAATGGATGTCAGTTGTGGCAGAGGAGGTGGACTTAGACACCTGATTGAAGAGTTCAATCCTAGCATCGCTTATGGAGTCGATATTAGTCAGGAAAGTTTAAATTTCAGTGAGAAACTGATCGGGAGTCAGCACAAAACTAAAATCGAGTACATATAAGCTGATGCAGAAAAACTCATGAGTGTTCAATAGTTATCAGAGTCATCTGTAGATGTTCTGATAAACATTCAGAGTTCGCATTGCTACGACGACTTGAGAAAGTTCTTCGAGGGCGTGAAATATTTGCTTAAAGAAGATGGGGTATTCATCTATGCAGATTTCAGACAGACTGATCAATACTAGATCATAGACAGCCTAATAAATGAGAACTTTGATGTTTTAAAGTATGAAGACATAAGAAGAAATGTCTTCCATGCTATGCAACTCCAAAGCCAATTCAAGACTGAATAAATACTTTAAGAGTCGAGTTGGTACTTATAACTATTCCTTCCATTCTATTTAGGACTCGAGGGAACAAAGATGTACAGAGATTTTGAAAAAGGGAATAAGACCTACTATCTATATACTTTAAGGAAAAAAAGAGATTAATCATGAATTGAGTTATATTAAATATTTATGTATTAAAAATGCTACTCTCCGTTCTCCCTCTTATCACCAGAGTTGGGGTTTTGGGGTTTTGGGGTTTTGGGGTTTTGGGG